GTTTTATCCGATATTTGGTATACCCATCGGGGTTGTCATCAATCGCCACAGTTCAATCGCTGGCTGTGTGCGAATGGGGAATGCCTTACATTTACCGACGGCCATACCTCGTGTTCTCATGACTCATGCCTATACGTTGATGTGTGGAGAACATGTATCTAATGACCAGTGTTTACTGGTACATAGCATGGTTTTGAGCAGGTTTGAACTACTACTCTATAAGAAACAAAATATTTGTGACCTGCAGAAATAATGGATGTACACATTCGTTAGATCTCTGACACTACTCGTAAATATCAGGAAACCGGAGGACTCTCCTTGAACTACGAACTAAAGTTCTCTAAACTGTCGCTTGATGGAATGGATTAGCTCGCTGGCCATCCGGCACAGATCACAAAGCTTTTTTTCGGTCTGTGGACTTTCTTCATCGTACTATGTTGAGTAGTACGTACAAGTACAGATGAAGGCAGCACTTTCCAATCGGACCCCTACTGCTCAAGTGTTCTATCTACTCGTTTCACCGTCACTAACATCGTTCCGCTCCGTAGGGCAGCTAGAAATGCTGGTAGTAAACAATACTGAAACCGTATACAGGTGCTGCGGCTGCGAAGCCTCCCTAGCTACCATGGATACAGCACTGACTGCCGACACCGCTGCACCAGTTGTCGTCGCCGATAGAACGCCGTCTGCGTCCCTAGACGTCGTTGTTTCTGCGGCTGCAGCTAATTCTGACGGATCTCCTGTTTCAGCTCTAGATGCCGCTTAAACTGTTCCTGCCGCTGCCAACGATCGACCACAAGATACTGGTTTTTTTGAGAAAGCGCCTGGTACTGCTGCAGTCAGCACGGTCAGTCCGGAGATTGACGTCAGTTTGAAGCCGCCTGTGACCGGCGCTGCCAAAAGAACTAAGGCCAAGAAGGATGGTGGTTGTGGGTCTGGCTCGTCGAAACATTCTACTCGTAAACGTCGAGGATCTGCCAGGACCAAGAAATCATCTACGAAGCGAACTCGCCCGAGTATGCTTGCAAGAATGCTTTATTTACAATATTGATAAGCTAACGTTGTGTGATGGCAAGTTTTTGTTATACGGAAGAGGAGGAAGAGGTTATAACGGACACGAGTGATGGTGTTCCGGATGTTACCGACCTTTCAGTTCCGGATATCGCCGACCTAGTTCCGGAGGTTACTGAAGAAACTATTCCGGATTATGACAGTCCATATCAGCCTCCGGAT